GGGGAATTCTGGGAGTTGAAGTCCACTCATCTTAAAGTGGCCAAGTTTGGACAACACTATGTTTGGGGGAGCAGGGCAATGTCTGCAGCACCCCAGATCAGGACAAAGCAGCCCCCCCCCAAATTCCAGGTCTTTTCTCTCTCTCTCTGACTGGCAAATTGCCAATCCCTCCCCAAGTCTGGGAGTTGCCCTATTAGCACATCTGGAACATGGCAGGCTGGGGAATCTGCTGAACCTGTAGAGAACACAGGACGTTTCTTGCATTGAAGAAAACTCTTTGCTGATCCTCTTTCCCTTCAACCCGGCAGGTCCGAGACTTCTTTGTGGGGGCCACCATTGCGGGCCTGGCAGGCTTGTTCGTTGGCATCGGCACTGCCATGGTCAGGAGGAAAAAGCAGCAGAACCAATAATGAAGAAAAAGCAGAGTCTCTGAGATTCTCTGTCTTGCTGGCTTTTTTTGCTCCATGTCCCTCTGATCTCTCTCTCTCTCTCTCTGTTAAGTTTCTAAAAACGTGAGCTACGACCACCTTAAAAAAAAAAAAGTTATTTGCAGCCGCCTCCCAAAATCCCACCTTCTCCTTAACTCCCAGGCTGGAGGCTAATGCCCATATTTTTGTTTTCCAAGTAAAAACAAGGGGTCAAGGATGGGTTGAGTGACCCTTCACTTAATCCAGGGAGGAGGTTCTGCTTGGGGGATGAATGGATTTTGCTCTCCTCCAGAAAAGGCCAACATTAAGTAACTTTGATCAGATTAAGGCTTGTCTCTGGCCTTCAAAAAGGTGGTGGTGATGGGTGTTGAAGGGCAAGGAATAAGGCAGAGCCAAGACTACAGCTAAATCTGATTTAATTTCCAAGTGTACAGTACATATTGTAATTTATTCTCACCCAGTTAATGCATCTGATCTCCATATATCCATACTTTTTGCTTCATCTTTTAAAAACGCAGTTTAGCATCACCTTCTGGAGAATCTCAGGAGACCACAGCAAGGCGCTGGGTCGGCTAGAAGTGGCCCTCAGACTTCAGGTTGTGGGTCCCTGGCCAAGAGGGCTGTAGATACGAAATGTGTAGAGACCCACATCTAAGAAATGCTCTTAGATGTGGGTCCAGATCCAATGGCTGGGTGTCCTCCAGGTACATTACAAATACATTTGAATAGAGGTTTTCAAACTTTTTCGGGCTGCAGAAGCTGTTGGTTAAAAAAAAATTAAAAGTCCTCAAACTTCTGATCGAGAGGCAAAGCTCTAGTGATGCAAAATGAGCTGTTTGAACTTTTTTTCCCTCCTTAATCTTTCACTGAAACCTATCGAATTCTCATGGACCTCTGGGGCTCCACAGAACACAGTTTGAAAAACCTTGCATTGGGTTGCAATTTCCCTGTTGGAAATGGTTTTTTCCTGACAAAGGACTTGAAAAGGGGTCACCTCTATCCCCAATGTAAGCTCCGTCTATAACTGCAAATACCACTGTTTGTGCATAACTTTCAGTAGCGTACTTTTCTTTTCAGGCATGTATTTTTGTGAATTATTGACTGAGAAAAGGCAACAAAGTCTGGTGGGTGTTGCTTCTAGTGAAATTAGTGGCTAAATTATTTTCCATCCTTATTAGTTATTTGGCCCAGGAGGACTGTAGGGAGCAGTTGAGTTGCTAACTTGAGTTGTTCCACCCCAGCGTGGCTGAAGTGAGAATCCTTATGCTATATTTATCCGTCTCTGCTTTGTATTTCAGACATTTCAGCCATGCAAGGCAATGCCATGGAGGCTTAAATCTTAAAAAGTAACATTTCAGAGTTATTAGCTTTTTATTTGATAGCTATAAAATACAGGATGGAGACAAGTGATTAAAAAAATACATACTGCCCTCTAATAACATGTCAACAGCATAACGAGACATCCAGTTTCTGTGCAAAAACAGTGATTAAAAATAAATCTGCTTCTTTTATTGTAAAGGGAATTTTTTTTTTTTTTTAAAGAAACAAGCCACTCTTTTAACAGATGTTTTATACTTGGCGTGAAGAAACACATGAATAAAAGCTTTGAGTTTTGAGCCTGGTTGCTTTTTGAAGGAGCTGTGAATTATTATGGGGGGTTTATGGTGGACGTTCAGGGATTTGTCTCAGTTCTTAGTCACGGGGCTTAACTCTGAAATGTCTGAAGGGGCCACTGTCTACCATTCTGCAGAGGAAAATAAAGAGCTGCGTCTAAGAACCGGGGTTTAATCTGGAGCACAGCAGGGCTGCCATTTTCATCATAACTTTCATTTGCTTTGCAAGAGCAGAACTAGGGAAGAAGCCGGGTCGGGCCAAGGTGAGGAATCTGTTCACGGGGTCTCCAAGAGGATCTCAGCCAGCACCACCGTGTCCATATCCAGCTATCCTGGCATCTGGCAGACTCTTTCAGACCGGACTTTCATTTTCCTTTTATAAAAAGTTGACACATTAACGGGATTAAATTTGAAACCGAGAGCCCTTGAAGAAAAGCACCAGCCTCTAAGCATCTTCGTTGCGTCTGAGGCCACGTGTGGTCTTTCACCTCAAAAGGGCTGGAGGCTCTTCAACCTGGAGCTATTAGTGGCCATGGGAGGAGGGTAGAGTGCTCAAATGGTGCAAGGGGTATCCTACTGGTTTGCCACACCACACCTTAAGGGGGTTGACTATGCTGCTGTGAAGATTCAACGCTATGGCTTATCTCCATAAAGTAGAGTTCTAGTCTTCCTGAGGAGTCAGTTTCCTGATCTGGTCTCCCTTGTAAGGCTGAATTTTCTCGGAGCACCTACAGCAGCTTTATTTATTCACTGAAAGGGGCCAGAGAACAAAGGTTCATCATGACTTGGGGAAACCCAGCTAGAACCCCAATGATGCACAGGCCAACACCATCCTTGCTATGTGTTTGGTCCCCTAGGCTGCCACGGCTACCTGTGACGAGCCTGAAATAGCTGGCTTGTTTATATACACAGCTCAGATCTTGGTCCCAGTGACCGACAAGGGAGGCTGGCCCAATGGGATTTTGCTCTATTTTTAGCTGATTTTAATTGGGAATGTGTCCTACTTGTAAGAAAGAAACACGTCTTGGTCACTGTCAGTGTCATCAAGAGATGGATGGAAGCATGGCCAAAGCTCAAGAGAGATAAAAGCCGGCCTGTTAAACTACTGATTTCTTTGGGTGAGAAGATGACAATGGATTAACTCTGTGGCATGAACCAGGCTCACTGAGCAGCTAGAGCTCTGTGACTGATGCTCCTTTCCGCTGATGTGTCTTCCAAGGTAGCTTAACCAGAATAGCATTTCCAGCATTATCTTCTCTTGCCTGAAAAAGCCGTGGTGAGAAATGAGCTCTTGAAGGACCTTGTTGGGAAAAATGGTTTTGGAGACCAACAACAAAGATGACCAGAAATACAGGCCATTTCCCCCAACAATGTCTCCAGTGCCCTAGAAGAAATGCCCTATACATTTGGTCCTAGCCAGGTGTAAATATTTTAGTTCCCAAGCTGTACTATGGTGCAGTGACTGGAGGCATGGAGATAAATAACCCAGAGTTATGGACGGATATCCCAGGTGAGGAGAGGTCTTTTTTTTTAATTGCTAAAGAACATAAGGAAACCCATGCTGGATCGGAGCAAAGGCTTGCTTTTTGATGTCATAAAGTAGCCAACTCAGTGCATCTGGAAAACTCAAGAGTATGGGTAAGAGGACAAGCACACTGATATCCCCCAACAGCAGGTATTTAAGGTATCCTGATGCCCTTTCACTGGTAAGCCCAGAAATTTATTTTCAGAAACTGAACCTTTTGTGCAATAATCATGGTGGTTGGGGAAGGGACTGTAGAGAGAAGAGGGAATGGCCTTGAGGGACAGGAGGAAGAGGCACTGCCAAGACAACAGTCAGATAACAGAGGCCTGAGTCTGGGGCAGCAATGTAATGTGAATAAATGTCTCAGACCAGCCGTTCCCTAGTTCTGACTGGGATAAAGGGAAGGAGGGTGGGGGAA